ATGTTGCATGTCAAGTTTATCTTGATAACCATGAAAGTTGGGCGAATGGTCATATTTAAAACGAAGGTATCCATGGTGATTGGGATTTCCATCTCCCTTTCTATTAGTATTCCTTTACCTTTTATACCTATTGTTAGAGTTTTAATTAGATGAATTTTGAAGAGGCTAATTTTCATCAAGTTGAGAACTTCTCAAGATAATATATTTATAGAATTCCCATCATTTATGAAAAATTAATAAACTTTATAGTTAGAGAGGATTGTTGTGATGACATCATGAAGGAAAGTCATTTCCTTTACATCATTATGAGTGAACATGATGGGCTCGTGCTAGAAGGATATGGCTCGCTAGATGGTAAAAACCTTCTTTATATACACCTTTTTTGCTACTCTTTCTTCTATTTGATATCCCTTTAAAGATAAAACTCGTTCTAGTGATTACTTAGTCTTACTCCATTTCTATTTGGATTCGCCCTTCAAAAATTATTTAAGGTAACTCTTAGAAATCAGCCTTTCTTTTTTCTTTTTCTTTTTTAAAGCAAAGCATTTCTCTGTGTCATGATCATTCACTTTACAGAAATAAAATACTTTTTTAGCTATAAAATTATGGAAGGCCTTTCATCAAAAATGGTAATTCACATATTCCTTCTCTTGTATGGTGATATAAACCTTCATTCTAATTGTGTTTAGGAGAGTAAATTGAAGTTTATAAAAGACTAGGCGGCTATGGATAGGTCCTCTAGAATTCTTTTTTAGGTTGGGATGATTTTATAGAGATCTCTCTCACCTTGTTATCTTTTCCTTTGATTTTCAAAAATGAGGATGAGCTTGTCAAGTGATGATAACTTCTTCAACCCGAATATTATTTTCTACCATCCTTTTCACCCAAAAAGGTTTCTATCAAGGAGAGAACAAAGCTTCCTCCATAAACTAGTATAATAAACTCTACCTATTAGAGCCTCTATAGCCACATGTTCTAATAATCCTTCTACTTTCATCATTTCTTTATAAAAATGAAAGAGTTAAGCTTTGGTGCTTTCTCTTTCTTTCTAGGTAAAAAAGAGTACGTTAATGGAGATTTTTACTGTAGGAATGCTGATAAAGAAATGGGTGATGAGCTTGGAGCATAGATTCTCAAAGCTTAGTATAAATTTGAGACCTAAGTTCTTATATAAGTTCCTAGCAATTTTTCGAAGGTGATAAGAAGGATTTTACATATGACGTTTGTATCTTAAAGCACCAATCGAAGGGTGCCTCTAACATTTTATACATACTTTCGTGGGTCGGTCATATCATCGTATGCATCCAAATTCTTCTTTTTTAAAGATGAATTTCCTTGAGAGTTTAGTGTTGAAAATATAAAAAGCAAGTGGATAGACTTAAATCTTATTAACATAATAGTCCAACTCATAATGGCAAAAGATGGCAAGTTTCTTGCTCGTTCATTGGTGCTCGGGTCTAGGGCTCACAAAGACTATTTAAGAGTGTGACTTATCTTAGTGGAGTCCTTTTTAGCTATCTCTAGTGCTTTAGCAATACTCTAATCTTTCCTTCTCCCTCTCTTTCCCTTCTTAGAGCCTTGGCTAACCGACCATTTATCGTAATGGTGAGAGCAACTTCTCTAGTGTCGGAAGAGCAATGACATGTTCTACTTCCATCTCTCATCTTATCCTACCTCCTAACTTTCTCCTCGAAAAAGTGTTGCCCATGAGCATTTTACTAAGGAGGCGGTGAAGGCGATAAAGATGCTTGTGGCACTCGTGGTGTTGGTGACGAAGTAATGAAGAGTCCGATCTATTCTTGTACGGTTAAGAGTGCCTCTTTCAATCTCTCAACTCTGTTGTTATAATAGAGAAGTTTATGAGTTAGGCACCCAAGCTAGCTAAGTCTACCGTAGCATCATGAGTTGGTGTTTCTTGATTTTTCAATAAAGAAAGGCTTAGAGATTGAATGATGAGTTGAAAATGGCTTTTAACTTAATTTTCCTCAAATGACACTAGTAATAAGGTCATGAATATCATATGATGATGTATGATGAGTTAGTTTATTTTTATTTTTATTTTTTTTACTAATGTAGTTGTAAAGTTTGATGAAGTGAGATTAAGCTAATTGAGATACATGTAAAATAAGTCTTTCTAGTGGGTTGGAAGATCCTCTAATCACTAAGGCAATGTATAAAAGAAGATTGTGGCTTGAGAAAGCAATGGTAGTAATTATGCAAATATAAAGAAGATAATGACTAGTGATGGCAAGTAAATAAATTCATAACCTGAAACTTTAAACCCTTTTTACACTTACTTGAGAGACAAATATACATGATGTTGACATATCAAAGTTGAAAGGATATGGTGGTGTTATAGTTGGTATTTGCTAGACATGAATGGTTTTTGTGGCATATTCTCATAAATATATATGCTATATATCTCTTCTAGTTGATGGGATTAAATTAGGTCTCCCGACTTAATTATCTAGGATAAGGCCGTTTGAAACACCCATATGAATATCATGGATTTGTTTTTCCATCTACATCCTAAATGAAGTCCCATCTTCTTTGATACTTATCTAACTAGAGAGTTTGATCCGTTAAAAATCATAAAATGACATGTGTCATGTGGATATATTATATACAAAACTAGGTAAGAAATTAAGATAATATCTAGTAGAAGTTAGTATTGAAATGTGATGAAGACAATTACTCTATAAGAAACTTACGAAAAATAAAAATAAAAAATGAAAAATAATATTCCTCATTTTCTCTCTCCATTAGACTACACGATAATATGTTGTATCCACTAAGCATATTATTATATTGCTGTTTAAGCACAGACCCTTGAATTAAAATTCCAAATTCAAGGAGAGGAAACCAGAGAGCCCTTGATTTTTAATTTTTAATTTTTTATGAAAAAAGCGGTCCTTCATAAAGTTTAAAAGAGTTTTTTTTTTTTTTTTCATTGGAAGTCAGATTTTGAACTATAATACAATCGAAATCAGTTTTTTTTTTTTTTTTTTTTTTTACATAATAACTAAATAAACTCACATCATTAGAACTCAAAACTATTTCACTGAAGCTTTCATTTATGTGTGTAAAAGCTCTTGGTTAAGAACACTATATTCGACACAGATAAAGATTCTTTCTTTACTTGTTCCTGACGAGCATTTTGGCATGGACTATGTTGCCAAAATAAGATCCATTACTATCTCAATTTGAGGGAAAGAATCATTAATTCAGTGTAATTAATAGCTTTAGACGTTCTGTATATTTTTGGGCAGCTCCATTTTCATTTTCCTCGTTTCTCCCTTTGTGGACTATATTTGGAAGGCACTATGTACAGAAACTTTTCAAATGTCACATTGTGGATTGGGAAAAAAGTTGGGAGAAGTAATTCATGATGTGTGGCATACGCTCCAAAAGAGTGTACTCTGATAAATCATGGCTCCCAATAGACCTGCCAAAGTTGTAAATACCGTTCTGTGCTTTTCTAGTTTGTTATTCACAAAAAAAATAATAAAAAATAAATAAATAAGCTATGAGTGTATATGTAGATTATCAAGAAACTAACTTTTTCAGTAAATCATTAGCAGCAACAGGAGCAAGAGGCATTCCCAAATCTATCATAAATTTCAATATTATATAAATTTTCCCTATCACTTTGGTAATGAATATCCATCAGATCTTTACTTGGCTTCCCCATTGAAGACAACAGTTAAGTACAGAAAATGATTGTATTGAGCATCCTTCATCTTCTTTCAGTCATCAAAAGTGTTTCCTAAACTAAAAAAAGAAAAAGAAAAAGAAAAAAGAAAGAATCATGAATAAATTAATCTTTAGTCACCTTCTTCGCACTTCCTGATGGGTTGAGTTCATCCTGCCCCCCAAAAAAAAAAAAAAAATGAAAACATCCATTATTACTTGGCCCTAGTAATCTTAAACATAAGTATAAAAGCAGTCATGATAACAAATAAGAAATTGTACCTAATCATAATGAAAAACTGATAGTGCTTGTACGAAACTTTGACAAAAAGTTAGGTGTTTGTTAATCTGGTAGCTCAATTATGTGCCAAACAGAAACTGGAACGTTATGATGATCAAAGTTACACTGAGTTGATGTGTGGAGTTAATTTGCTGACACAATTACAAATATTTACACCTGGAAAAAATGAAAGGAAAGATAAGGTTAGGCAAAAAAACAAAAAAAAAATATATATATATACATCAAGACCAAGAAAAGTAAAAGAGAGGTGAAACAACCTTTTTCAGTCAGGGGGCAACGGAATGTCTCCATCACCCTTCAAGGCAAAATTTTGTTCAAAGTGATTCCCGCCTGCAAATGGGGACCAGATGCTATATAAGAATAAGAACAACCAAAAGATTTCTCAAGAAAACTTACAAAGGGAAAGGGATTTTATTTTATGGAATGCTTCAATAATATGCCAAGTACATATTCTGTTTTTGACCTTCGTTTTCATGTAGATTCATAAAAGTACATGTGCTCAATAATCAAAAGCAACAATATTTCGTTTCTTGTGAGATGTACCAAGGGTATCCGTTGGGCTCAAAATCTACAGATTAAAGGAGTGTTCTTCTCAGGACCACCGTAATAATGGATCCTCACATCAAAATCCATTTTTTGTATCCCATCCCATCCATTACAATGGAAAAGATGGTGAAAAGGGAAAAACATTTTACAGTAATAAAAAGTAGATGAAAGTTTCACCGGAGTGATTGAGGATGCCAAACCAGACTTCATGCAGAAAAAATTGTAATTCTTGAAAACATATTTACAGCCTGGTTATATCCCCCAAACACTCAATCAGAGAAAAGAAAATAAATTGCAACAGTACATTGTTGATAAGCACAAGCAGGATGGACAGAATGCAATAAGGGACTACTATTTGGTTCACAGAAAAGAGAGTTTGTGCGATTACATGTGTGTGTTCGTCTATGCAAATGCACGCTAGTGGGAGATAGAAAGGGAGAAAGACGTACCATCTCATCAACCTTCAAAAAAAGTTCAGTTCTGTGTATCCATGTGAGTATGGTAAAAGCTCCTCTACCTCAATTCTGGAGCTCGAATAACTGGTGCTTTTCCTCAATCGGCCATGGCTCGACTCAACATCTGCCCAAAATATTCCATAGACAGGCCTGTGATCTGAGAACCGAGATTCCCCACGTACATAAGATAATTGATGGAGGCCTTCTCCATACCATAAAATTCTATCGCACCTTCAGCACAAAATTATTTAATCAGCAACACATGTGATTAGAATTAACAACTTTGACCATTTGAGCCACTATATGGTAACCTTCATTTTTTTCTAACTTCTATAACCACTTGTGATTCTAATTTTGCAGTTAAAAAAATGTTTTTTCAATTGCATATTTCCTTGTATGGTCTGGTAGGAGGGATGTTCTTACCAAGCTGGAGTCCGACGTTTCTCCTTTGGGTGCATATCATCTCCTGCATATCTGTCAGAATTAGTTGAATATTTGTATGTTGGTGGAAAATAAATTTTCCCCTCATTCCATCCCACAAAAACACGACCTCGCCTCTGCTCTATCCTTAACTGCAACAAAAACCATCAGCAAATCAGATGGAAGCTGACTTATACATAATAAAACTGATTGATATTTTTGAAACAGAAAAAGGAAACTGACAGAAAAAATTATGGAGAACATGGTTAAAGCATGCCTGGTCGTTTTCTAACAATGCCCTCCAATTTTGCATCTCAACTAGTGCCTTGGCAGCTCGGTAAGACAGGGCAATACGATAATTCAAATCCCCAAGCCAAATAACTCGACTGCAACAAATATTATGCAAAATTAAAACTTTGAAAACAGATGTTGAATAATGAGGTGTGAATTAATAAATCATTTACTTAGACATGCATGTGAATTTTGTTAAAAATGTTCAAAAAACTCATAGGATAAGTTTTTTGTTAGGACATAACAACTTGTGATTGTCAAAAGCACCTGATTCTTTTGAAATGTTTGGTAAATTATATTAATACATATGATTGCCAAGCAAAGTGAAATGCATCTCCTTTTCCCCTTGTTGTTAAATCCACATAATTTTCACATTAATTTTAAACATTTTCAAAGCAATTTAAAGATTACTCGATAGCTGATGAGGGTGGTCTTACTCATGCTCAAGGATTGTTTCTGGGGACTTCTCATCACCCATGTTCTGAACCCTTGGAAACCTTGTCTTCTTAAGAATCTCCATGACATCTGCATTCCTTCTTAACTCATCACCTTCTTTCTGTCCGGAGGTTAAATGGCTGCAAATGAAGCAAAAGCTTGTTTGATGCAAGGACATACTGACTGAAATAGATCCCTGCAACATCAAGCAAAATATCACTTCTCTATTTCCTTAATAGTTAGTAGTTCTGATTAATTTGGAAAATCCAAGTAAGAAGGCAAAGAGGGACACTCCATGATTAGCTGGACCAATACCTTATTTCCTAGGTAACCCATCAATCCTCTGCCAACACAAGATACTTTCATGTTTTTGACATGATCCCTTAATTCACTCCTTACCCATATTGTCAGGAATATGCCAACCATTTGTTTACTTGCCACTAAGCAGTACCTTGAATACCCTGGCCTCCTATATCCATCTTCAGTTGGTGCAGAATAGGAACCACCATATGACACTGGTGAGTGTAATACAGTACTTGGGGATTCCCCAGGCCCATTATCATCATCCGAGGAACCCCATCTGGAGTAATCACTAGGCCTGGAATAATCACTAGGCCTCGAGTACTCACTAGGTCTATGACCCCATCTATTGCTAGGATCATAATCACTTGGCCTGTGACCAAATATTACCCGATCACATACACTAAATCGCCGATCAAGTCGTGGCTGTGGAATTGAAGGATCATTGTCCATTCTCCAGCTATGGGTTGTCTGGAATGACCGGCGATGAAAGAAAGAAGCATTCTTTTGTCTAGATGATCCCTCGAAATCTGCATTTATTTCTACTATTGGCTCAGGGATTGGAGATGGTGTATAGCATCCCCCACTTCCACTAGTTCCAGGAAGATTGTTTAGAGTCTTTCTTATGAGAGCCAGCCATTTTTTGGCAGGGCCATTGTCTTCTGCACCAAGAACATTACCAGCATTCAAAGGAACTATCTCTTGAAATCTGATACACAAAGATAAGTAGAAAGTGTTTCCATCACTAATGGGCAATCGCAGAATTTAGTGAGAGGAATTGTGAAGATAATAAACACCAAATCATACCCAAGAACATAAATATCTGCCGGAGGTGAAGCATGAAGCCAGTCATCAAGACTTAAATTACTCGGAGGGGATCTTCCAGCCACATTCCATGAAGCTACAAATATACTACCACAAAATAGAAACAGAAAAGTAGTTTGTACTCAAAACAGGAAAAAAAGCACATTATTAAGGAAGAAAACTGTGAGAAAAAAGGAAATCTATGGGATGATACCTGTGGTTTTGCACGTCTATGATACGAGGATGGTCAAGATTCATTCTACCTCGCCGGACCTGCTCTGGATTCTTGCTAAATTTCTCTGCAGCAAAGTGATGAAGAAATAATTAGGAGTGACAACATCAATTGGAATTTAAAACCAATTGAGACATATTCACCATAAGAAATCTTTAAATTCTGAGGTACTACACCTGTTTTGCTCTTTTTTATTGTACATGGCTCCCTCTCTGAGAAGCTAGTCCTGTACTCAACTTCACCCCTGATGAAAGAAAATCACTTGTAAATTCAATCCTAATTTTTAAAAAAGGGTAAACGAAAGATGAACGTGGAGAAGTTGAAAAACAAAACGAGATAATAACTTAAAAATTGTCATTGGCAAATAAAGTTTCACTTTGGTTGCAGAGAAACTGTAGGATCAAAAGAAAACAGAAGAAGCATATACAAATCTTTATTCCTTTCACTCCTTCGAATTCAAAAGGGAAAAACAAAAGCCTCCACCTAACTCGGGCTTGTTCTACTATTTGGAAAGGTGAATAAAGTTGGTGATATTTGAGATTCACAGTGCCATTAAGCACCTAGTTCACAAGGATATTCCTCTTTCTTTTCTCTGTTTTCTCAGCAACCAACCAGAGGATGAGAAACTGTATTATAAATAAAGTGGATTCTTTGACTCCATTGAATCAAATACCCACGTTTGATTACAGGTGGTCATCATGCAGAAGCCCAAGAAAAGAAAATGCCAACCTCCGTAAACATCATCAGCTTGAAACTCCTCATTTTTGCTCTTGATGTTGAACAACTTTCTGACCATTTTCTTGGACCAGGAGAGCTTCACCCAACAAAACAAAAAACCAATTAACTAATGACATCCCAAAATCATCATAATTGCTCAATAATAAAGAAGGGGGAAAACAGAAATATTGGTCATTGATGTACAGGAAAATGAAGTGAAAAACCTTGCTTTTCTTGGAGTTCCCATCTGTCATTTTTCACTATTAATTCATATAGCTCTTCTTTTTTACTTTCCGCTACTCCCCAGTTCCCAAGCTATGCTTAATATCACCAGAATAAAGGTCACTAACTCAAAGAAGTTAAACTCCACAACTGGAACTCTCCTTCCACACTCTATGAGCTTTCACTATATCAAGCTTTGAAACAAGCAAGAAGGTCTGTACTCTGTAAATACTCTAAAAACCTTTGCAAGCTACCCAAAACCCATACAAATACACCCAACCGCAAATGGGTTTCTTGGTTTCAATTAAAAATGAGCCAAAAGGGACCAAACAGCAAATGGGTTTTCTTGGTGTCCTCTTGTAGCAGTACTTTGTCAATGCACTGTAGGAGACACTTAAGAACAAGAAATAAGAAGAAACCCACAAATTTTGAGAATGCAATTGGTCAAGAGAGACAAACGCTTTATTGCGTTGAAGTGAGAAGAGAGATTCTTGAAGTAGAACAAGACAATGTAGGAGACATGGATAGAGAAATAAAGGAAAGCAAAGTTTTTAAGACAGAGATACTGAGAGAAACAAAGCTTATAAGCTTCTCTCTCTCTCTGTCTCCCTTTGAAACAAAGAGGCCTCGTTCTCAGCAAACAGCAAAGTATCTAATTTGAACAGAATAAAGTGCAGCATTAGAGAGAGAAGAGACATAAGACTTGGTCTTAAGGGCTGCCTTTTTCTTTTTCCTTTATTTTTTTTTTTACTTTCTTTTTTTGCAACCACTTCAAATTTCAAGGCAGAGCGAACATGATGGGACAAACGGACAGTCGTTTAGAGCAGGATATCTTGCAAAAAACGGCAAACAAAACCTGCCCACGGTCAGCAAATGTGTAGAGGGTGAGAGGACCTAGAGTGCGGGGCTGTAGCTATTGCCCTTCTCCCTACTCTTCCCATTTTGGTCTGCGACCAAAGTGCAAAAAAAAAAAAAAAAAAAGAGCAGTTAAAGAAGAAAAGATAAAGGAATATGACTATGTGCAGCAGTACTGTATATATTTTGTTTCTGTTTCTATCTGTAATCTGTCTCTTTCTCTTTATATGTTTCCTTTCTTTTCTTTTTCGTTAGCGTATTTTTTTTAGTATTGACAAAGGGATGCCTCTCCTATATTGGCTTTCCCTCAAAATACAAACCCAATATATATATATATATATATATATATTCTATTTAGTTTTATGTTTGTTTGCTTAATATAAGATTTTACCCTCTGCTGTATTGAGCATTGTGCAGGTTTGATTACATAGGCTGATTATAGTGGAATGCAGGGAATGTTGTTCACCAATTTGGATCTTCTTTTGGCTCAATCTTGGGACTGTCTTTGAAAAAAAGGGCACTTGTCCCATTTTTTAGGTGCTTATGTTCTTTCCTTTTCTTTGCTGTGCTCCTTGGGAGTCATCATGTGGTTCATGCTTTTTAATGCCATTTTTTAGCAATAGGGAGCTCCTGGGATAGTGCACTTAACTGTATGAGATGGTGAATCTTAATTCTTGTTCTTTTATCACACAAAGTGTCTAAATTCTCCGTTAATCGTCTTGCTTGACGTGCCCCGCCGCCCATGCTGCTGCTTTTTGGGCGGCTCCTCCTCAGACATTCAACAATCCAATTCCAATCTATGGTTCCTAGGTTGAATACCATGATTAAACAACAATATATTTGAAGCTCCCTTAGTAGTTCGAGCTTTAATTGACCGTTCTAACATCCAAGAGGTTATATATTGTCTCATGTCTGTCAGACTCTTTACATTCGGCTCGTTGCTAACTCTCATGATTGATGGGCCTTGGACATTGATTAGCGACAAATTTTATACTAATATTCAAGGATTAAATTTATTGGCTTGACGGCGGATCATTTGTAGCGTCCGTCCAGTTGGGATAGCATGTGGGATAAACTAGAAAGTCTCCACTGCAAATGGAAATCCTTTATGGTCATCATCACTCACCAAGTAGAGTTTCGATTGGTATTTATTGCCAATTGGCCCCAATTAGAGATTATTAAGGATTTGTATAAAGGTGTCTTGTTGTCCTCTGCTAACAAAAATAAATCTCACTTAGGTGTCCCATGACATGGTGTCTGATTTTCACTTTATTCCCTGGAGCATACCTGGTGGACAATCAATATACAGCCTGCATTAACATTTCTGCACTTGTGGCATAGAAATTTAAATTGGGCAATTTATGTTTATCAATAGAATATTCAGTGCTTTATTTTTAATTTGAAGGTTTATTTAGTCCTTGGATACGTTTATCAATAGAATTTCAATTTTATACTAATATCAATGGGATTTTTTAGTGCAATAGTTCGGAGCTGAACCTCAAATAGCAAAGGCCTAGGATGTGTATTTTATCTTAATATGTATAATGAGTGGATTCCATTGTGTTCAAATCAAGGTTATCTAATCACCATAAACATCGATTGCCTTCGTGAAAATGGTTGGTGGTGTGCTTTTACTTTTGTATGAAATTTAGAAGAAAAAAAATACATATTTGTTTTTGCTGCTTCTAATGTGGGTCTTTGGGAATCATTGCAAGCTAGAAAAGTGAACCTTGAACAATACAAAGAAAATTTGCAAAGTGGAGACTTGTATCAAGGACTAAAGAGACATGGGCCATATTTGGTAATTGGATATCTAAAGAGCAAAAGAAATGGCCCTACAATATACATGTTATCTTCTTCCTTTTTTCCCCCCATTTGACAAACTTGACGCAGCTTAAATGGTATCTCAGGGGATGCCAAGGTTTTTGGATTCGTTGAGTACATGATGAAAATTGAATGGCGTCGTTTGGATACTTATTTTCTTTATGACTCGTTGTTTGGATGGAAAAGAAAGTGAATGTTTGTATAGATTCTATGCTTTTTATTATTATTACTATTTCTATATACATTTTTTATCAGTAGCATGGGAAAAAAATAGTATGTATATCCATATTGTATCAAAATTTAAGCAACAACACCACTTTCACTAAAACAACATGTCGATTAGCTAGATTATTGATAATCACGGGAACGTTTCATGCATAATCACATACGAAACAATCAATTAAAACATAATTATTAATGAATACAAAAGAGGGAAAAAAAACTATAATTAGAAAGCGTTAGAGATATACATGTAAAAAGACGATTATGGATAGTCAGCGCATCTTATCCCCACAATGGAAAATAACATCTTAATTATTTAAATAGAAAAAATTATAAAATAGAATATGATTTTTATGTGGTAGAATATATATATACATTCATAAATATTGACAATGACGCTTCATTTTTTTATAATAACAAGTGTATACTTGTTTTTGTTAATTTCGTTGTAAATGGAGTGTCATTATCAATTGATGAAGTACCATTATCATCACCCCTCACATGTTACTTCCTTTCTCATATAAATGTGAAATTCAATATAATAACTACCAATCTAATTACCATATATACACACACATACCAATCTCTTATGATTGAATATTCCTATCTTTGCTAGTAATTATAAACTTCTCGATCGTCTTATTAACAAAAGAAAAAAAGAGTTTAAAGCATAATAGGTTCCAATAAAAAGTTGCGTGTGAAACTCTTGTGGTTGCAACTGTTGTTGAAGATAGATGAATGATGGAGAAATGCTCAATAAATAAATATATAGGACCCGCTCTTGTCCAGCCCATGCACTCTTCACCTTCTAATCAAAATTTCCATCAAAAACTTGATAGTCAAATTTTCTTCCATTTCTGAGGGAACTCTAAGGGCACCAATTCGATCAAGTGGCATCTAAGGAAACACCGCGTTCGGGGATTCAACAAGGGAATAATGAACTCGCGATTCTACGTATCTTTCGCATGGAAAATAATAGCTTCGCATCTACAAACTCGGCACCATCCTTGTCATATCACATGGGCCACATGGTTTTTTTTTTTTTTTTTTTTAATCCTAAGGTTATAGATTTTTTAGACCATGTAAAGAAGGATAGCTTCCTGAAAACCTATTTCATTTGAAAAAAATAAAAAATAAATTGTCAGCTACAAAATCACTAAATCAAGCCTACATGATTTATCATTCTCGATAAATTTTATAATACTCAATCGAGTAATTAGTAGAAATTACTCTATAAAAAAAGATAGATACAAAAAAAATAAATAAATAAACCAATCTGAAAATTTTCTTATTAATTTTTATGGATTCAAATATATATTTTTTTTTATGTGTCAATCTATTTTTAAAAAAATGGATCGAAGGAGTAATTACTATATATATATATACTAGTTATTTTTTAACTATTATAAAATTTCTCATTGGCCTCAAATATCCCTTTGATGGTACATTGTTGTTATTGTTTTTTTTTTCCCCCTCCTTAATGCCTAGAATAGGAAATCTGGAAATGTGCGTTTTAGTGCAATAGCATTCTTTCCTAAAGACTATTGAGGAATAAGTCTCTAGTTAAGAGATTAGATAATATAAAATGACTCCAGCTAATTACCATGTTAATTATTACAAGCGTGACTTTTAAATGAAGTTTGCAGGAACTGAATTAACTAATCTAGTTGTCACCTTCATAGGAGACTTATCATGCGCACATGCGAATACACACATTTTTTATTTTTTATTTTTACAGACAAAGAATGATTAGATCAAATTAAAAAATAAAAAATGGTGTTGTTTGTTACTAGTAATAAGAAAGAAAGGAATCAACCACCCCTTGAAAAAAAAGAAAGGAATCTATTTTTATTTATTTATTAGCTCTTTTTTAGGAAAAACAAATATAATTAGGATGGACAAAATTAGAAAGATCTATATGTCCATGATTCTTTTCCAATAAAATATAGTAATTTGATTGATAATATAAATTAAGTAAATATATCATCTATATATTGTGGCTTAATGATGTTAAACTGCAACTTGTTATATTTAAAAAATTAAACAAAACTCTTTTATAATATTGATGAATAATGATCTTTCAATTAACAAATAATCTCTTCATAAACATTAATAAAACCTTATTAAAACT